TCATTTTTTTTAAAGAGGCATTTAAAAAAAAATTTTTTTAATGTTTATTTATTTTTAAGACAGAGAGAGACAGAGCATGAACGGGGGAGGGTCGGAGACAGGGAGACACAGAATCCGAAACAGGCTCCAGGCTCTGAGCTGTCAGCACAGGGCCCGACGCGGGGCTCGAACTCACGGACCGCGAGATCATGACCTGAGCCGAGGTCGGCTGCTTAACCGACTGAGCCACCCAGGCGCCCCTCAAATGTTTATCATTATTAAAACATCATCTAAGCCCAGCTGAGATTTATTGTGTCCAAGCTGATTTTGCACTTGAAGATAATAAAATATTTGGAATTACATTTCAGTGTAATGACTTCTTGGTCATGGGTAGTTTCTGTTGTGTTCTGTTGCTGGGTCATGCAGCTAACTTACTGAGGTTTCTCATTTTTATTTGAGGGTTGGGGGAAGATACGGGGAACACGGCAGCTGTATAGCAATCCTTGTTAAATTAAGAGTAGAGGTAGGAGGACCCCATTTTCTAGACGTGGTACAGATGGGGTTGGCTTCAACTTGTTTATAGTGTGTTGCTGGTTTTGACAACTCGTTTCAAAGATTTTTGAAAGGGAGGAGGAAAAGGTTGGCATGGAGCGATGAGAAAGCTTTTCTCAGGAGGCAGTTAGAACAAAACACAACTCGTCAGTAGAACACCACTGTGGAAAGCTATGTCACTATTCAGGGATGGGTTCAAGTAGACTCTGAGCAGCTTCGGTGAGGCACATTCTGAGTCCGAAGGAAAACTTCTTTTTACTGCAGTCTCAAAAAAAAAAAAAAAGAAAGAAAAATCCATTCTAATGTAGATGGTAGCAAGCCCCAAGGATCTTCCATTAAACTGAATCCCTTGCTCTTCTATTTGAGATGTAAATGAACATATCCTGGATTTGCTTCCTATTATGCCAGTACTGTGAAGTTATGTCTGCAGATTAATGTGGCCTGCTGGCTGGGTCACACTGAAGCAGGACTGCCTACAGACCGCCTTGGCTGATTTAGTTGTGGTACTTGTATCTGTGTGCTGTCTGGAGGCGAGAAGTCTTTGAGGGGAGAATCTATTTATTGAATAGAGGACGTTCCTGGTGATAACAGGCTAATATCTAAAAAGTACAGTGTATACTTTTAGAAATAAAATGATAATACACCCGAATCCAACCTCATCGAATAGAAACAAAGGGATGTATTGGGGGTGGGGCGAACCAACTGTTTATACAGGTTTTCAAATGACTGTTCTTGTAAAAAGTGCATGGAATGCATCCAAAACAAATAATGTTTTCTTAGATGAGAAGACCAAAAGGGAAATCCTAGAGAAAGGAGAATGGATGATCTTTCTTTAATGTCAAAACTGACATAAACACCCCCCCTCCCCCTTTTGCTCAAGATAATTTTCTCAACAAGACCCAGATTGCTTCAGTCTTGTCTATCACCCTTTGAAGCACTTTCCTTATTATTAGGAGTGGGGGCAGGGTTTCCTTTGAGGATTTTTGCAGCAGTGAAGAGTTCCTCCTTTAAATACTTTCACATGATGAGGGAATTCCGCTTTCAAAGTGCTGTCATCTCTGTGGCTTCTCTGCCATGAGACAATTTATTCTTGGGTAAAGGTCCTTCTTAGTTTGATTGTCAATAAGGACTTACTTTTCTGATGGATTCTCCTTCCGTAGAGCTCCGCTTTTTCTGGGAGACCTAGCGAAAGAATTCAGTGTTCTCCTGTGTTGACCTTAATGAACTTGGCCATGATTCTCTTTTGAAATGTGTTCTGCCACACTGGGTTATTTATAGTCTTCAACATAGTTGCCCTTGTCAGTCTCCACTAATGAAGATTTGAATGACGTATCAAATGTTCCATCTTGAAAACTGCATGTCTTCTACAGCGCAAAGAGACACTGAATTTTGGGGAGTTTTGAAAAAAAAATTTTTTTGTTTGGTTTTTTTAATGTCTCTTCTGATGTTTAAACAATGCCATGAGAAATAATTCGTACACTATTCAGGTGTCAACAGTTTTCCCAGAAACACTGAAATCTTTTGAGAGCCTCTACCCTGTGTCGCTATACCTCATCCTTGTCTAATCTTGAATACGGTTTTCTGGAAAATTCTATAAATATTTAATTCATGGAGACAAAATGTATAACTGTGTGGTTTAATAGCTCATTCATTCGAAAGCAGTTCCTTTCCCTCTCCAAAATTTTAATAGGCAATGATTCACAGTTGTTTGGAAAGAATTAGAATTAAGAAACCCCAAATAGGATCGACAGCTTTCTCAATATTATTACATAAAGTGAGCTTCTAAGTATTTGCAGTTGTTTTAGATAAATGAATAAAAAGTTACCCATGTCCCAAACTAGGTTACACATTTATGTCATTATTCTTGGACTTTCTCTTGGAACAGTTTGGTTGTTAGTGACAGAATCGGTGTTGTGTAGGGTGCATTCATTATCCACTTCAACCTAGAAGCTCCTGAGTGGCACAACATAACTACCATCCAGTCTTAAAACCTGCAGCCTCCTTCCTGTTGGAGTATTGAAGTGAATGATGTCTTGGCCTTTTGTGGATGAAGAAAGTGGAACATGAGAAGAGAACCCTGGACCAGAGTCAGAATACACAGATTCTAGCTTTGGCCCCTGCCACTATCGGCAAGTCCCGTGTCCTTCTGCTCCCTCTCCCGCCTCTCCCCACAAAAACTTCTGTTTAAGCCAGTGACCCAGATGATCTTCATGGATTTACCATCCTAAATAAATAATAAGCTCCCTCTACCTGTAAAGAGAGGCTTAATTATGATGTTTGAGCCAAGTTGTTTACTCCACTGAAAAAACAGCATTCTTATTTCTTAATCTAGCCTGTAAAAAAGGAATGTGATTATATTTTCTCTCTCCTGTGGGACTCTGTAATGTACCATAAATATTCACCCCATTTTCTTATTTGTACAGACTCTGCCTTCTAAGTGTTCACCACCTAGTCAGAGAGGAAAGCATGAAAACAAATACGGCAAAAATCCAGTATGATCAGTAGAAGAAGATAAGTGCGTATAAGATGAAGAGGCGGGGCACCTGGATAGCTCAGTCAGTTAAGCGTCCAACTTCGGCTCAGGTCATGATCTCACAGTTTGTGAGTTCGAGCCCCACGTCGGACTCTCTGCTGTCAGCACAGAGCCCGCTTCAGATCCTCTGTCTCCCCCTCTCTCTGCCCCTGCCCCGCTGGTGTGCTCTCTCTCTCTCTCTCTCTCTCTCTCAAAATTGAATAAACATTTTAAAAACTGAAGAGGTAACTTGGGAGGGGGAAGTGTATATATTTTATGTACATTTCTCCAGACCTATTTTGAATCCTAGAAATAGGAAAATGCATGTGTATTGGGGGTAGCTTTATGGTAAATTCGCGACGACGACAACACTGCTAACTCTTTATCTGTTTCCCACTGAATCAAGTATGTCCCTCCACGGTATTAGTTGCCATAAAACTGCGGTCGAATGAGTGGTATGTAGCCTGGGAGGTTAAAAAACATAGAATGTTCTCTTCTTTCTTTTCACAGCTAAGTTATTTCCCAATGTCTTCAAACACCGCCTTTAAACCTCTCGTTGCTAGCTATTGGCACCTCTGCCATTGAACAAGAAGAAGACTTAAAGGTGTCCAGTAGTCATTATAAACCAAAACCCATAGCCTAGAGTAAGTTGAGATTCTCTTTAGAATTTAGAGAACAGGAAGAAAAAGTTGTCCTGAGAATACTGATGTGTCTTGGCATAATGGCTTTCTGAGGAGTGCTATCATATCTGGAAAGTTGAGGTTTTTCTGGTGATTTGCAGCGATCTTGAACTCAGATCACGGAATTGGAAAGTGTTGGTGCTGTTAAACCCAGCACCACCTGTGAAAGCTGTACTGTTGCATGGTGGGGGATGGGGAGCTTGCAGGGAGCTTCTTATAAAAACTTGGCCTGAGCTAATTTGTTTTGTTTGAAACTGGAAATCATATTGTTGAAGTCTGCATTCTGTTTTCGTTCAGTTGGTGTATTAACACAAAGCACCGTGTTTTTAAAGGGCCTCCTCCTTTCTGCAGGAATAAATTTGGCTTCTGAAAGAGAAAAAAAAAAAAATGTACCAGCAGTTCAGCAACATCGCACCTCTTCCATCATTTTGGGCTTCAGCTCAGTAACTCCAGACAAATTTTCTGGAAATATGTAAAAACAGGCCTATAGGTACTGAACATAAAAATCCTGACTGTACACTCATAAACATTTGTACAATCTTAAGGCCCTTATCACTGAGTTTCTTAAAGCAGTGTGCATATTTTAAAAATCATGAGAATAAATGAAAATTGGAACGAGATGCTATTTGAGAGAAGATGCACCCTAGAGATGCCTGAAGAACACTGCTGTCTGACTTTTTTCTAGGAAGTGAGCAAGCCTCTTGCCCATAAAATAGGTAGAAGCTGTGATTTCCAGATACCTCTGTCCCAAGAAATTAGATAAAGATGGAAACTGTGGAATACCATTTTGTAAATATTTTAACCATACAAACTAAGCACTAAAAAAGCATGCTTCCTAAAAAGGCATGGAATAGTCCAAAAGTTGACAGCCAGAACAGTTGGACTGTGTTTTGGAAAATGTCACACCGTAAGACCCATCATGAGTGCCCAGTGACTCTGAAGAAGAGACAAGACAAAGTGGCAAGAGACAGCTTTACAAATTCAGGAATGCTCTAAAAAACTACTGGATGGGCTAAGAATGCTTCTTGAAACCTAAAATCCCAATGCAACTGTAATCTGAATGTGAGGAAAAGGTTACTCTTAAAAAATAGTTGCACTCTTATGAAATACGTTATCCTTCAGCTTTTGACTTTTTTTTTTTTTCAGGTTGAAAAAGTTCAGCATGATTCATATACTAAAGATTGTCTTTTTTTGCACAGTAATTCTTTAAAACTGTATTCTCACCCAAGGCTGTGTATCTCTCCTCTCTGTTTTGCTCTCGTGCTGCTCTGCCCCAGGTTGGCCTTCCTTCCACGATGTGATCAGTTCTGACGCAATCACGTTCACGGATGACTTTTCCTACGGGATGCACAGGGTGGAAACAAGCTGCTCTCAGGTCAGTTAACCCCACCTGAAAAGCCAGTATGCTGTCCACTCTGCACTGAAAACACTTTCAGGACCCCTGGTTGTGCTAAATATAGCAACTGAGGCCAAGTGACCGATCACAACACCGACAGAGGAGCGCAATGAAGTCTCTACAACGTCTTAATGATATCTCGGTCTTCAGGTGTTTAGCAAGTCCAGTTAAATGCCAGTCATTGGCTTCAACACTATTTAAAAAAACCCCAAAACATTGGTAGGGAAAATCGTCTTCAGTTGACTCAGTGCACTGGGAAATGGGCTATTCTTAGGGCATATGAAGATTTCACTATGTGGCTTTATATAATCTGATGTTAGGTAATAGCCCTCTCTCTGCAGTTCTGTGCACCCGTTCAGTTGTAATACCTCTAATGGTAATGATCCAAACGTGGTCAGTAAAGACCCCAGAAACGGCTTTCCCTGTGTGGGTGAGAGGTGGGAGGTTGGGGAATGGCAGTGGGAAGAGGAAGTTCCGTGGTAGGCTGTAAGAAGCCAGAGCGAGGATACGTGATAAGGTCATGCCTTCTCTACTTCCCTTAGTAGATAGACCTCTCTTCGTTTCCCAAGGATGTTCTAATTAGTTCCTATCACTCTTCTCTACTCAGATTAGGACTGGCTCTAAGGGAGAAAACGAGCATGTGTTGAGGAGGCAAAAATAGTTAATCTCTTACAATCAAGGGACTTGAACTCATAGAGTATTTTGTATTTAAACCCAGAGACATAGCCAGGACCGTCTGTACACAGAATAGAAGCAACTGACCGTTCTTCTCTAGAGTAGAAAGTACTGTTCTAGTCCGCTTTAAATAAGTGAACTGTAAAGTCTGAGTATTGTGGCACTGAAATTCATTGGTACTACCTAGTATTTTGTTGGGGGATGTCAGTTGTGCATGTCAGAGGTAAAGGGGGCACCATCAGGCAGCTGAAATAGCAAAGCGATTGCCACGTGGGCCTCCCTCGACATTCTTCTACCTGCCCTTTAACCCCCTTCATCAAGCACAAGGGTTTTAGGGAGTAGGTGGCATATTTACTACCAAGCAGGGAGGGGGACTGGTTAGAACCTAACCATCTGATGAATTTGTACTTTCTTTTTTTAAAAAAATAAAGCTGGCAAGTTTACTGTCTTCTAACTGTGAAGACCACTCTCTCCCTTGAAAAGCAGACTTCATATTTTATCTAAGTCATATTTTCAGCTCACTCTTATTTCTAAGATATAAGTCTCTGAGGGCGATAGTGGAACTTTCTGATCCTGGGTCTCACCCCCAGAGATTCTAGTTTAGTTGGCTTGTGTGAGGCCTGCCTATCGGTGTTTTTAAAAGCTGCCCTGGTTAATGCTCACAATAACCTTGTGAAGTAGATACTCTTATTCTTTCTTACCTTTGAAGCTGAGAAAACTGAGGCACAAAGAGGGCAGTTATGCTGGTGTAAATCTACATAGATTTAAGTGGCAGAACTGAGACTCAGATTTGGGCATCTAGCTCCAGGGCTCTATGGTGCTTAGACAGGCAGGCAGGGAGGTAGGTCTACAGATACATAGGCCAGACAGAAAGAGTCACATTAAAAAAAAAATCCTGTGATCTCCAGCAGTTAGTTTAATTCAACTCAGTTTTGAATTCAATTGAATTTTAATTGATGTGTTTATAACGGCCACAAAAACTAACTATGATTATTTCTCCAGGATTCCGAAATATTCGACAAAAAAGGAACTGGATAGGATGGTATATAGTAATGTATAACTTAGGTATATGTAGCACTTAATAAACCTCTTGTAAGACTCACACTTGTTGTTGTTGTGGTTGTTTTAAGCTACCTTAAAGGCTGTTAGGTGACTGCTACTCTCCTTTTTCCTCAAACCCACTTTCAAACATTGAGTCCTATGAAAACCAAGTAAAAACGGCACAGAAAAAGGGAGGCATAAGATAATAACTTTCCTTATGCCCTATTCTCTAATGTCTCTGTGACTAATTCTTAAAATTCACAGTTAGAAAAACTTCCTCCTTTCTCTGTGCCAACCACAGAGATAATATTAGTACTGGTCAAGAAAAAAACATTATGAATCTGTTCTACAGTGACCAAAGACAGATGAAACCTACAAACCGCCCAAATCAGGCAACATTAATAAAAAATATTAAGCCCCTCCAGGCCCAGCTCCCAGCCCTTCGGTCAAAGGCGTCGGTGACTGTCGCTGTACCTTTGGGTCCTTTCCTAGCGGCTGAGGAACCGACACTGAGCTAGCTATTCCTTTTGGCTTCTTTACCCACCCCTTTTACTTCTCATATTTGGAAAATGTTTGATTCTTTCTTAAAGTCTTAAATTTAAAGGGAAGAGGGAGGGAAATTTGTTCTATTAAGGCATGTGTAAAACCACATGCTTTGGGAAGTAAGTTTCATGGAGAAAATAATCGGCTTCCAGCACTAAAGAATGATATGTTTGCCAGATTCTTCTCCATGTGGGCAGAGTGGGAGATGTCTGCCTCACGAGTGCAGGAATAGCTCACTGAATTCAAGTGTGCTGGGTGTCTTTCTTTCTTTTAATGTGTGTTTCATTCACACATTTATTTTCTTTTTGTTCTACCTTTCTATTTAGTATTTTTCTTTTCCATTTTCTCATTCATCCTTTTTATCTTGGCTTGGAAAAAAGTAACTGATTTAATGGTTTCCATACCAGAGTAACCACTTGTATTTTATGTCCTAGTTTCTCATTCTTACCGCTAGTTTTCATTATCAGTTTATCTTTTCTTAAACTTTCTGTTCTTTCGGTTTACATAGCCTTTCCCCCCACTCACACTCTTCCCATCATTGTTGGGGGAAGTGGTGTAGGAAACCTATCTGATTTGCTTCTCCTCTTTCTAAAATTCTTGTTACATTTTGAGTTCACGTGGCTGGTCCTTACTCTGAACTGAATTCACTGATGCGGTTCACAAGAAGACTGTCTTACTGCCATGTTATACAAATGGACTGAGATTCCATGGGCAAAACCAGTATGCTTAACCTGCTTGCTGGGCAATATGGCTTTTTTTTTTTTTTTTTTTTTTTTTTTTTTTTTTTTTTTTTTGGTTTATTGGCCCCTAATTCTAACTTTAGTACTTAGGATTCTTCTTCTTTCTTTTGTTTTTTAAAATTGTGACATGGATCTTGCTATGCAGTGAATTAGGCCTTACATATATGGGTAGGAATTGTAAACATGCTGGGAGCCATAACTTTTTATACCACGCTATAGTTTTTCCGTGTGTCCTGTGACTTCTTTGGTAATAATATCTTAGTAAGATTTTATTGGGAAAGTTAAGATTGATTCAGTGCTGTCATTACTTTTCAGAGAAACCTTGCAGTCAGGTCCTTCTAAAAGAATTGCTCCGTAAGAAACCTAGCACACTGCCTGATCTTTAAGTTAACAGAGCAGAAAACAAGCAAGGGTGCTAGAGATTCTTCAGTGCCTTCTGTTAGGATTCCTGCTTACAGTGCCTGGTTACATTCTGATTTTTGTTGCAACCATATTTGTGTTCTTTTACTATTTTACCTACTGAGTTGTATTCTAGTTGTCTCTTTCGAAGAGGGTCTTTATCTTAAATCTGCACATTTTAGTGGGCATGTGTCTCTTCTTCCTTGCTGTGGCAATTTTCAGAAAATTTTCAGTTTTAAAGAATTCTTAAAAATGTTACTGAATTTACATTTTTCAGCTAGTGATAAAATATGTTGTGTCTATCCCAGCTTCACTGACTACTATGAATAATTGTTTGACAGTTTCTCCCTAGTCCTCCACCCCCAGCCTGTTAAGCAGTGCTTTGTCAGGAGTTTAAATTCAGTGCAAAGAGGTAAGAGTTGCATAGTTTAAGCTGTAGTGCAGAGGAGTAAGTCCCTCCTGGTGACACTTGGGGAATTCTCCCTTCTTTAGACCCAAATTCTACATGTGCAGCAAATGGGAGACCAGTAAATCACCGAACTTTTCGTAATCATCTTTAAGGAAGCCATCAGATTCCTGGAGTTTACCTACGTTGGAGTCCATTTATGACTGCTGCTGTTACTGCTGGAATCTATGGTAGAGTCCCTTAAGTTTGTTTTCGATCATCCTTAATTTGTTCTAAGGCAGCCAAAGCAACAGAAAGGTAAATATCCACCAATACAGAGTATTTTTCAAAAGTTAAACAGTTTTTGGTAAAACCCCAAGTCTTATTAATCTTTTGCAGATGACAACTCATATATTGCTGATGATTAAAGATACCCATGTGTTACAATAGGGTTTCAGACTCACAGCCCATCTCTCTTTTTCTTGATCTTTCAGTAAAATCATAATGCTAAACTGGTGACTTCACAATCATTTCCTTGGCAAAAGATTAATATCACAAGCACAGAGGAAAAGAGCCCTACTTACACACAAGTGTCTTCAATAACGGTGGGAGAAAACAGGATACTACTGGCAAAGTAAATTGCTTTTCTTCTTAAACTCTTTTCTCCTTCTCATCCTGCCCCATGTGCCCACGTGTAAAAGCCCTGCTTTGAAACTGCTTCATCTTGTAGATCAAACACTTAAGAGAAAATGACAATAATAAAGCCCAAAACATCCTAGGAATAGCTAGGAGAAAACCCTCTAGGACAGTTGGAAATGCATCAGTGCGCAAATATGTAACTGTGTTGAATGCACTATTTGTGTTTCTTATGCACACGATTGGGAGTTGCGATCAGATTTTAAGGAATTATGTTAAATTTGATGTTCCCTTTGTGTGTGTGTGTGTGTGTGTGTGTGTGTGTGTGTGGTGAGGTCCCCTTTGCCTCAGTTCTCCCCAGGTTCTTTAGTTGCCAGCTTTTCTGAGTGGGAGGCTTAGGTGATAAAGGATTCCTTTGGGAATTTGAAAGTTTTCTTTTGAACAATTATCTCCTGTGTTTTTCAGAACATGAGCTAGAATATTCAGTTGTAGTTTGTATTTTACCTATAAAATAAATGCATAACCACTTTAAAACAACTTTCAAAATGCACACTAAAGATTTTACCCTGAAATAAATCATTAACAGCAGGTCTCACAGATTTCTTCATTGGGCAGCCAGTTTGTTTCAGTTACAACCAGGTGTGCTGAGATCCCAACACATTGCCAGTTGGCTGGGGCTGGGGAGGCAGAGCTCGAAGGTGGCTAAAGAAACAATGCATCACTGACAACTTCCATTCATCATCCCAGCCTTCGGCCAGGGGTAGAAGCTGGAAAGAATGGGCTCCATGTGTGCTCCCCTCAGGGAGGAACCTTCGGGCCTCAGGCACTTTTAAAAGAAACCGGCTCATACCCTTCTATGGGAGACTGGGTGTACCTGGGAGAAAGCAGAAATGGCGCTGTGTGGTTAGGCTTCCTGCAGACAAATGGCGCTGCAGCCTTGCAGGCATCGGGGCGGGCAGGTACATCGTGGCGCAGGTATAAAGGACCACCTGGCCATGTTTGCAAATGCCGCTCCTCCCTCAGTTTTCTGAGCCCGGTGTGAATCTTCCAGAACACCCTGTGGCAAGCATGATGAAGCTATCACTGTGGTGTTTAGGGGACTCCCACCTCTTCTGAGGATTTCCCTACCCCCTCCCCAACCCATAGAGTTGTCCGCAAACCATTTTTGTTGCCTTTTGCTTTTCTAACTGTAAGTTCTCTTCCTCACCCCCCTCCCTCTTCATGTTGGATTAAGGACATCTAGAATCTGTGTTTCTCTTTCTGTGTAACCAAAACACCGGTTCCAGATTTAGCAAAGGAAACTGCAGACCAATGGCCAACTCATTTCAGTAGATTCAATTACTCTAATTTGGAGTTTTTCAAGACGATTTGGGAAGTGAAGACCATAGAAACACTCCTGCATAGCTTCAAGTCTATCCTTATGGTGCTTTATTTTTAGAGTAAGGTAAACAGAACCATTTTCTAAATATGCCCAAGAGAGGATTAATAAAGGTAATATCATTTATTTTGCCAGAGAGCTGTATTCTCTCATTAAGAAACAAAACCAGAGGGGCGCCTGGGTGGCGCAGTCGGCTAAGCGTCCGACTTCAGCCAGGTCACGATCTCGCGGTCCGTGAGTTCGAGCCCCGCGTCAGGCTCTGGGCTGATGGCTCGGAGCCTGGAGCCTGTTTCCGATTCTGTGTCTCCTTCTCTCTCTGCCCCTCCCCCGTTCATGCTCTGTCTCTCTCTGTCCCAAAAATAAATAAAAACGTTGAAAAAAAAATTAAAAAAAAAAAAAAAGAAAGAAACAAAACCAGAAAACCTATTGGAGGCTTTTATGTGAAAAGTCCGCCTCTCAGATGCCAAGTGATCAAAGTGCCAGAGCTGCGTGTGAGAACAATAATTGTGCACACATACTGATCACCGAGAGCACCAGTTCCTACTCTTGGCCTGCACGCTGACTGTTTTGGCAGGCCGAAATAGGTGTTTTCCTGCGTCCATTGGGTAAGCATATGGATTTTTACTGGTGCATCTTAGCTGCCGGTGCCTGAAAGTTTGGCCTCAATTGTTTATAGAAAGGAAAAGCAATCTGAGCTGTCAGCCTTGATATTACCTAAACCTGCCTAGAATGTGGTAAAATAGTGCAAGATTTGTTTTTTAGGCCTGTTTCATATTTTCCAGGCAATAGATCAAATCAGTTCAGGGTTCATTTTTAGTTCTTTAATAAGCTGACACAGTATGTTGGCAGTAAAATAAGAATGCACTTTTAACATGGAAGGTGCCATATAGTCAAAGTTGCTATTTGTGCTATTTATTTATAACTAGAGAACCCCGGAGATTTGAGTGTAGCACTTTGAGTAGAGAAACTGAGATTCTAGTTCTTTCCATTGTAACGAGCACCGTCCTTCACTTCTCTCTCATCATCTCCATTTGGTCCATTAGCCCAACTCCCGTGTCAATTCCTGCTTTCTCTCCCTATAATTGATAAGTATTGTGCACACCAAACAAGCACAGTGAGAGGAATTAATAGATCACCTTATAGGCCTTTTCTCTCCCGTTCTTCCCTAAATCTTGACTCTGCCATCTGCTTGAAATGCTCCTCGAGACACCCACTGCTTCACTTCCTTTGGCTTCTTACTCCAGAGTATTCCAGACTACCCCAGGAAAGCAGCCCCACCTCGTCGTGCCTGCAACATCAGCCCCCAACCGTGAACACTTCATATCACTGCCTCTTTTTTTCCCCTCTCCTTAGCATTTATTTCCACCTACCACACTTGACAGTTGGCTTATTTCTTTGCCTATTACCTGTCTCTCCCGCTAGAAAAAGTAAGCTCCGTGAGGCCAGGGACTGTTGCCCATATCTCCAGTGTCTGAGACAGCACCTGGCAGGTAGTAGGTGCTCCATAAATATTTGTTAAATGAATGAGTGGAAGTCATCTGCCCCGGGTTTTAGTTTCCTAGTTACATGATGGATGATGTGTTTTCATAGCCTGTTTGAATATGATGCACTGACGTCTCCATATCCCTCGCTCCTGTCCCTGCTGAGAAAGGGTGTGGGATAGGTAAGTATGACATAACACTGTTGTCACCTGGAGCCGTACCCAGCATCGGAGTGGTTAGCGCAGGGCTCTAGTCACCGAGCCAGCCTTCCTGGAGAAGCTATCTCTGGGCTGGATTTCTGTTAAACACTGTGATAGCCAGTCGTCCCTCCTTCTCCTTCCATCTGGATTCTGGGCCTCTTCTCCTTCCCAGGTTTTTTGGATAGTCTGTAGCATGGATTTGAGCTTATTCCTTCTCCACGTAAGAGAGTTCACGTGGGTAAAGAAGCCAGCGGCACTCCACCTACTGGAAGCCAGAATAAAATGATTGTGTGGGCTAGCGACATTTCTATTTGCCATACTTGCAGTCCTGGTGACCATGACATAAATCTGTTGAGCCTTGCCATTGCTTTGCTGGGTTCCAAGAACATCCAGTGCTTGTCTGATGTTAAGTTTTACTGCCCATGAAAGCAAACATCACCTCCGTCATGGCCAGTTAAACAGTATCTTTTACAGTGGACTTCTGCATATCTGAAACCCACCCATCCAAAGCCAAAAGTAATGCCAGTTGGGGGGGGGGGTGGATTTTCTTCTACCATGTTTCTTACAAGGGGAGATCAAGGGTCAACTCAATTCATAAAATTACTGCAGTCCTTTTTCAGCTGGCTGAGAGACTTCATAGATCAAAAAATACAGTGGCTCCGAAATGATTTCTGATATGCACAGTTCTGGTGTTTTTTATTCTCAGCATGTGGTGCAAAGCCTGCCAGAAACCATCTTTGCAGCTATTGACAGGCGGATTAGAAATCATCCATGATGGTTTCCATCGTTTCTCTACAGGCTGGTCATCCATTTAAACTGCTGAACGTGAGCTCCTCTCAAAGCCCGCTTTGTGCGCGCTCTCCCTTAATGTTTTGCTCTTCTCTTTCAGTGTGGTGCTCACCTTGGGCACATTTTTGATGACGGACCTCGTCCAACCGGCAAAAGATACTGCATAAATTCGGCTTCCTTGTCGTTCACGCCTGCAGATAGCGGCCGCGGCGCCGAGGGAGGCCGTGGGGCGGGCAGCCCAGCCCAGGCAGACAACGCGGAGCTGTAGGGGAGTGGGGAGCGATGGAAACAAGTGTACTTAATGCACAGCTTGTTAAAAAAAAAAAAAATACTCAGAATTGTCTTAGATATATTTTTTCAAAAAATAGAAGGGCAGTTTTGTGCTATCGATATTTTTCTTCTTTTGCTTAAACAGAGGCCCTGGCCATCAATGTATTTTGCTATTGACTAGATCCAGAACTGTTTATAACTTCAGCGAACGGAGATAGCTGTGGGAAACATCTTCACAAGCCACTTGAGTACCATTTGGCATTATTTTCTTTGAGCACATAGCTTCTTTTGAGATTCCCTCCCCCACCCTTGCTTACGAGGTGGAAGGCGCTTGGCCTTCTAACGTGAAGATCGAGATCCCCTGTGCAGCAGAGAGGGCGCAGCAGCGGGGGGCCGGGCACCCAGACCTCTAGACGCATGGCCCTGCGGCATTTGTGCAGGCCCACCTGAGATAAGGGCGGACTGGTGCCTTGTGAGACTTCTCAGCTCTGTGGAAAGTTTGAGCTATATGGTCGTTTATTCTCACTAAAGGGGTGTGAAGGTCTAAAGTCTTTCCTTATGTTAAATTGTTGCCAGATCCGAGGGGGTGCGCCGAGTGTTGTGGCAGAGAGTAAACATTACCTCACGGTTAGGCCTTTATTTTATTTTATTTTCCATTGAAAACATTGGAATGTAAGACAACTGTAAAATGCTGAGCCCCATTTTGTCCAAAGTCCATAAAGAGGAACACCTGCCATTGCCTTTTAGAAGTCCGTGCCTCCGCACCTAATGGCAGCTGCAGCTGGAAAGGCATTTTGGTGAATTCCACTGTGTAAAAGAAAATACTGGGGACAATACACTTCATCAGGGCAGCGGAAGGAAGGGAGCAGGGAGGACCAAGGAGGAAGTCCTGGGTATTAAAATACCCAGAGCTGAGCAGAAAAGCTGATGAGATACTGCAAGTAACAGAGCCCAAAGTGGGGGGACCTTGCACATAGAGGTTCACATGACCTCTGGAAGGAGGCTAGGGGTTAAAACGGGAAGAACCAGGAGCTCAAGTCCCACCCTTGACACTTCTCTGCTGTGTGACACGGGACCAGCCGTTTAGCCTCTCCATGCCCACTCTTCATGTGTAAACTGGGACTTAACAATATTTATAAGATAACCGACACTCTCAGGGCAAAGTCACTATATTGCTGTACAGTTAAGATCAGTGTTGTAAAATTAAACTGATCTGGTTCTAATTGCCTCAAAGGCTGAAGCCCAAGCATTTGAAATGGAAAGAAGTGGAGAGAAGGTTGACTTAGCTGATTGGTATGGAAACAGTTGGGCCAAGAGCCAGAAAGTTTTCTTTGTAGCAATATGGCTGGCTTCACTCCGAGAAGCGCTGCTCAGTTGCTGTGTAGCATTTAGCCTGGTGGAGTGGGGGGGCGCTGTGCACAATTAGGTTTCCACAGGTATGAACGGTGGTGCTTTCAGATGACATTGCCGTAGCCAGGTGTGAAGGTACAGCTTATGAGTGGTGTATATTGCGTTTGTAGCCTTGACCGCGAATCCTGAAATGCAGTCCCGAAAAAAATTTCCTTCTGTAAATCTTTGAAGGCTGATGAAAACTGACATCTTTCCTTGTAAGCACCAAGACAAAAATAAGAAAGAGGGACCCTTGACAGTTTTACAATGAGAAACGACGAGTTAAAATGGGAAGTGACAAATCAAAATGGCAGTGGGGTCACGTCCGCGTTCTTCCATGTGTCTACACCACGTCCTGGGGAGGCCCTGATACTCTGGTGACTGTGTCGTCACGTGGGCCACAGCTCCACGTAGCCTGCGCTCTTCCAGATAAGTCACGCTCTTCCTTTCCCAGCTCCTGGCTGATTCGCCTCGGGCCCTGGGATTTTTCTGGAAATGAGGTGTAAGATTCAAGACCACTGAAGCCTCAGCTCCTGGACCATCCTGGCAGCCTGCCCTGAGCTCGCAGAGGGAGCCCCATCCTTTCCCAGAGACTGGAGGATCCCATGGGGGTCGGCTAAAGACGGGGGGCCTCCTGAGACTTCCCTGCCCCAGGGCACACCCACCCTTTGGGTCACTCAGCCCCTCTCCCATCACTCCAGCTGTGCGTGGTAGCCTGCCCCAGGGTCTGCTGGACACAAGCCACCATATCTGGGTAGACAAGGAAGATGAGGAGCTTCTTCCCTTCCCCCCGGAGATTCTGAATTCTCATTGTCCTTTCATTTTTATTATGGGGCCTAACATTGCCCCCTCAACAACTCCTTCTTTTCTAACCCTTTGTCCTTGTTTCAAGGAAAGCCGGTTTTTCTTCTACCACATTTTCCAGCATCAACTTGAAGAAAAATGCAGCATCCACTGGAAAAGAAAAAAAAAA